GGGGAGGCACCCCCCCCCCCCCCCAGTTTATACCAGTCTGATCATGGGGTAAAATTCCTTCTGGACCCCAAATATGGTGATCAATCTGAACCTGACTGTAGGGGCAAACCCCTCTAGCAAGGAACCTCTGCCTTTGGTCCCAGTAGGAGCATTGGGACACCCCAGTCAAAATCCTCAGCTTTTGCTGCAGCCAACACCCCTCTGGACTGTGTGTTCTGTTGCTGGAAGGTTTGAATTACCATTTCTTGTGGAATCTAATTTAAAGCTCTCCTTACTAGGGTGGCCAGATGATACCCAAAGATGCTCTTTCCCATTCTCATCAGATGGGTCCTCTCTCTTGATAGCAGTCCTTCTCCCAAGAACATTTACCTGTTGTTGAGGAGTCCAAGGCTTTCACATTGATACCACTTCCATGGTATCTTCCTGGACCCTTGCCTTCCATGGGAAGAAATGATGCACCACTTGTGCTCCAAGTTCCTTAATCCTCATGCCAAGAGCCTCACAGTCACCTCAGTGTTATTTCTGGCAGTATCACCGGTGCTTACATAGACAAGTAGGAAGGTATAAAGGTCTAGAGGATGGGTGAGCCAGTTTGACCCCAGAAAGCACAAGGTCAGCAAAGTTTGGATGCTCTCTCTAAAAAAAGTGAATTTCATCCAACTCAAGATGTTAATAGTCATGGTGGCTTTGAAGATAGACTGAAGGAGGTGCCCAGGAGGGCTGGAAGCTTCTTAAGGGCACAGTATTGTGACATCCTGAATTCAGTCTCTAAGCAGGCCCCTAAATCTGGATGACAAATTGGTGTCTCCATCCCTTGCAGAAGGGAGTCACCAGTTACCACTACTTCTCTTCCTTTTTGGTGTAGTGGTCTTAGAGCCCTTGTCCCTGGGGCCTTGCATTTCCTGTTTTCTAAACTGCTGAGTCCTCTGCATCATGCCTGCAGATGTCCTCTCGTCTGCTTTTTCCTCAGCAGGTCCAGTGCAGGGTGTTTGAAAGCTGTTGTTGAATTCTATCTGTTCCTCTTCTCTGGGAGTCCTCCTTCTTTGAGCAGTCATGCTGCCATTTCTCATTTCTTTTTGACCTCTCCAGTACCAACCTCTCGTAACTGGTGTGTAAATAATCTTCCTGTATCCTGATGCAATGCAGTTTGGATGCCTGTGCTTCCAACCTTTGAATCTTCTCTTCCAGGGCAGACCCCAGCTTATATGTAGTGCAGATGAAGTGCTCTTGACCCTCTGGGAGGAATATGAGCATGGCACATCCCATGCAAGTTAGGCCATCTACTGCTACATAGAGAATGCATCTACATGTGCACCTGACTGCCACACAGTTCCAGTGCCATATGGGTCATTTCTGACCCTACTGCACAGTAGCTTATTGGTACTGTGCAGTACCAGCAGTATCATGGTTTGTGTCTGCTGATGCTACAGCGTCTCCTGCAATAAATTTTGTCATGGACTTTAAAATGGTTGTAGTTTTCTTTCCAGCAGGGGGACTAAGGTTCAGCAGATTTTGACTAATCAGCATCTGACACTGAGAGTTGAGCCCCAACACAGCCCATGAAATCACTTTGGTATGAAATGAGTCTCAGGATATGCCTGGGGAGGGCATAAAAGTAAATCTATTACTTTCTGGTGCTCAAGGGAGAATAGGATTTTCCTGAGGTTTGGCCAAAGGAATAAAATTCTGAGTTAATCTTCTGACTTTGCAAGAGGAGGGGGCAGGTAAAGGAGGAGAAGGACATATAGATGGACATCTCATTGCAACTGAGGAGAAAAGGAGGCTCCAGGTTGCAGCTTGAAGAAGGTAAAGGATGAGGTAGTCCTACGCAAGCCTTACTTTTGTTGCTAGTGTCTGGCTTGGGTCAGCGCATATGATTCTAATACTTGCAGATACCACAGAGTTTGCCTTCAAAGTTATGAAAGAATTGTCACTGCTGTCAACAGTAATCTAGTAATGTGTGCCACTTTCTACAAGTTTCAACTGGACCATATTTGAGTCAGGTGGATCAGTTACATTATTTTAAAGAGCTGTAAGTCAACACTAGCTGCCTTCAATTAGGATAAACCACCTTCTAAGAGAAAGTTATAATTGCTCATTTGAATTATTTTGCACCTTCTTCAGGAACAAGAGGTATGGACTGCTAGCAAACATATGATACTGGACTAGACTAGACAAATGCCTGTTTTTCTGTGGCATCTGGCCATGGAGCAGAAACAATTTGAAGTATCTTAGGTGACCAGACTTTACAGATGGTTTGTAACACTTCAAGACATTGTGGGAGGTGTATAGGTGAATATAAATCCATAGAGTAAAATATGATAAATTGATAATTGGACAATTCTGAATAATAAAACATCAACATCAAAGTTTGCTTCTGATGAACAGTTTACCAAAATTTAGTTGTCTATGTATGGTTATTAGGATAGACTACTTCTGATTATTTAAAAAAAGTGATTCAGATTCTATATTAGTCAATTATGTTAGCATTTTTGTAAAACATATTGTTATTTCTAATGTGCTTTCTCTGTGGGATAATATTTTTTTGTTAATTTGCTAATATAAAAGTCAATAAAGATAAGTGTAGAATGCTTTGGGCAAGAAGAAAGAAAAATCAAAAAAACCACAAATACAAATTAGGAAATTACTCTCTACACACCAATTCTGCAGAAAAAGATGTAGAGGTTATAGTGAACTGCAAACTGAATATCAGTCAACAGTGCAATGGTGTGCCAAAAAACGGAGTGATATACTGACAAAAGCATCAGTAATAAAAGCAAAATAACTTCATGCTGGTGAGAGTTCAGATGGAATTCTGTAGTGTTAAGTTTTGACCACTACACTTAGGAGGGATGTAGAAAAATTCTTCTCTGGACTCACTTTAAATACATTTAGAAGACACGGGGTATGGGAGACAACTGGCTTTTATGATATCTCTTATTGGAACAACTATGAACTCTGAGGAAATGTGGAAAGACTTGAGTTGTGTTTAGTGGGAAGCATGATAATAGTCTTTGCATACACAAGGTCATTGTAGCAGGGGGTTGTCCTGGAGCTTGTCAGTCATCAGCCCGCCTCAATGATAATGATTCAGAGATGTCAGTCAGGCAAATGGGAGGCTGCCCATTTGTTTGCCCTGATGCCAAGGGCCTGTGTACATGACTCCAGCTTTCCCTATACAGTGTTCTATGCCTCACAGATGGCATCCACAACTTAACACCTGGCCTTCTTAGGCAGCCAAGCTCTTCTGTACCCTTCTCCCTCTAGGGTATGCCTCCTCTCCAGGGACCTTTGGTGTCACGGGCCCCGTCTTCACCCTCCAGGCCAGTAGGGTCCATCCAGTCAGGTTGACTAGTGGCTTTCCTTCTCTCCCTCACACTCCTCTGCCCCCTCGCTGGGGTTCTTTGGCACTTGAGCCTCAGATCTCTCAATACCAACCCAGCTCAGGGCTTTCTCAAGCTGTGGGGGCTGGGGTTATAAGGTGCCCCTTGCACACCTTCCACTGGGGAGGTGATTAGCCTGGCATTTCTTGGGGTGACCCCACCACAGGTAGCCCTACCAGACCATCCTGCCCCAGCGGCATGTAATTTTCAGTCATGCCCAAGACCTAGAGCCTTTACCTTCCCCACAGCTCCCGCCTTTACTTCCAAGTTTTTATGAGCAGCAGCTCCAGCCAGGTGGCATTCTCTCCATGGCCACAGCCAGGAAACTACTGCTTCATCCCTGAGGGCCTGAGTTAAAATGGAGGCTGCTCATCTTCCTCCTCCAATCACACGGCCCTCCTGCAGTCATGTGAACATCTCATCAGTGGCATGCAGCTGCCACTGCCTGGCCTCCTGCTCTAAGCCCTTAAAGTGGCAGGCACCAAGGGTGCTCTGCCACAGTCATTATGAAGACAGAGGTGCTCAATTTTTCTTCAGGGTTGCAAAAGATAGATTAAGAAGCAATCTGTTTCATTTGCAGCAGGATGGTTTAGAGAGACATTAGAGAAAACTTTTGAACTATAAGGAGAATTATGTGCTGGAATAAACTACCAAAGAATTTTGTAGAAATTTTTTCTTGGAGGTTTATAAGAGCAGGTTAGCTGAGCATCTGTCAAGAATGGCCAAAGTATATCTGATTCTTCCTCAGAGCAGAGGTATGGGCTAGATGACATTCTGCGGTCCCATTCAGCCATGTATTTTTATGATTTTTATGTTAACCAGTATTGTAAATAACATTTATTTTTTGTATTTTTAATTGCAGCAAGAAAAGAACCAAGAAAGTTCAAGAAATAAAGGTAAGTGCTAACTATTTTAAAATACAAAGAAAATTGTAATAACCTTATAATTAACCTTCACATTAGTTAAAATCATCAGCTCAGGTTGTTAGCCAGGTATTTCAGTCTGATGTAGCAAAGTAAAGGAACGTAGTGTGACATGGAAAGTCTTATATAAGGAACTGAACTTCACATTTATTGCATTCCCAAACCCCAATTTTATTTATAAATTAGGTGAAGCTTCAAAAAACTTCCTTATAAAACTAATGCAACTATAATAATACATATTTTGCGTTGTTATACAAGCACTTTTTTGTACTTCTGGTCTTTTTCTCTGTATATATATGTTTGGTTTTAGCACTTTTGCTATATTTTAGTGTCTGTGCATTAGAATAAATATAGGTATCAAGGGATATGACAGTGTATGGTATGGGTGTAGGGCCCTTCAGAACTTTGATTGATATACCATGACATGTTGTTTAGACATTCACTTCTCTTTTAGGTCTGAGAATATTAGAGATATCTAAGTTTTATGTAGTTTTACTGAGTTACAGAGTGGATTTGCATATGATGGTTTGGATAGGGGTAATCCTATCTAAGGCATTGGATGAAATGACCCTTCTTCTATGTGATTCTATGAATCTAGTATATGCAGCTTTACCTAGACATCTCAATCCAGCTAGCCAGTATTAACAATATTAAGTTGGCACATTATAGAATATGCTGGTTGGTTGACTGATTCATTGTCAATATGGCTACCTATCTCTCAGAAGTCCATTACCCACCAGTGTAGCAGGCCATCTCAGCAAAGAAATTTGCCAAGGATTTATAGAATATTGTCTGCTGATATATCCAATGGACTGAGCCAAAAAAAAAGTTCTAAGGACAAATACATGATTTACAAGCAGTTAGAGCAGGGGTGGACAATTATTTCAGCTGGAGGGCCACTTCATGAATTTTGGTAAGCTGTCAAGGGCCGCATGGGTAGCCCCACCCCTTGACAGTTGCCCCACCCCCAGTCACCATCTTGCGGCCGGAAGTCCCGCCACCTAACCCCTACCCTTTGCCACCAGAAGTACTCCTTTTGGAAGCAGGTAGTATGGCCTTGGGACTGGAAATTACATTCTGTCACATGGTCTGCGTCAGGGGTAGGCAATGTTTTTTGGGTGGAGTGCCAAAAACCCTACAATGTCTACCTTGTAAGGTGCTGGAGTGCCAGCATGCCAAAAAAACAAAACTGGTGCAGGGGGTATGTGGCAGGATGCACTGTATATTAATGTAGTTAATAATCATAAATGTTTCTGTTTTATGGTAAATACCAGGCTTTCTAAAAATTCTAAGCCTGGTGACCATAAATAAAACTTCATAGAGGGAAGAGCGGGAACAAAGAGGAGAGAGGGAAGGAAGGAGGGAGAGGGGAGAGAAAGAAAGAGAAAGAGAGGTGTGGGGAAAAGCAGGAGCAGGGGGAGGCACCTTAGGATGACTGGCCTGGCCAAGCCTTTGGGAAGGTGGCAGCTGGAGGAGAGGCGGGGCCAGGAGGGGGGTGGGGGCTGCCTCAGAGCTCCGCAGACTGGGCCACAGCTGGGCCCCCAGCGGCACCCAAAGTGGAGGCTGGCCTCGCCCACACAGCTCTGTGGAATGGGGTGCAACTGCCCTGCCTACAAGAGGATGCTGCCTGGCAACAGCAGGACACTGGGCTTGGGGGGCTCCCGGTTCAGCCTCTGTTTACACTGGGCACAGCATGAGTGGGGTGGAGTCCCCTGGGCCATGGCAGGAGCCCCCGGGGTTCTGGGAACAGCTGTGCACTTACATTTGCTGACCTGACCCGTCCGGTCCCAAGTGGCACACGGCTGAGCCACCGCTTCTCCTTGCTGGTGCTTACTCGGTCAGGCCTGTCGCATTCCGAGAAGCACACAAGGAAGCAGCAACTAGGCTGGCTTTGCTGTGTGCTGCTTGGGACAGGATGGGCCCAGCCAGGTCAGCACTGGCGAGGAGCAGTGGTGGCTGAGCCAGCTGAACCATGTGCTGCTTCCTAGCGTGCTGCTTGGCACAGGCTCAGCCACAGCTTTTTGCCTTTGTGGTGCCAACCTGTCCCAAGCAGTGTGGTGAAGTGGCACATGGTTGAGATGCTGATTTTCCTTGCTGGTGCTGACCCGGCCGGGCCCATCCCATCCTGAGTGGCACACAGCAAAGCTGAACCAGCCACTGTTTCCCTGCATGTCGCTTGGGATGCAACAGGCCTGGCCGAGTTGGCACTGGAGAGGGGAAGCAGTGGCTGAGCTGCGTGCCACTTGGGACCAGCGAGGACAGGCTGGCAGAGGTAAATAGAAGCCACGGCTTTGCCGTGTGCCTGTCAGGCTTGGCCAGGCCGGCACTGGGGAGGGGTAACCATGGTTGAGCTGGTCCTGAGCAGCACATGGCTCAGCCACTGCTTCTCAATGGTGCTGACCTGGCTGGGCCTGTCCCATTTCATCCCAAGCAGCACATAACAAAGACAGCCCAGCCACTGCTTTGCTGCATGCTGCTTGGGACAAGATGGGCCCGGCTGGGTTGGTACTGGTGAGAAGCAGCTGAGTGGCGAATGCTCCTGCCACTCCCCATGGCCAACACTACTTCCCACGGCCCTCGCTCCTCCCTGCACTGCTCCCCACACCCCCCACACTGCAGCAACTTCCCTCAACCACCCCCCCACACTTCCAGCTTGGTCCAGGAAGCACCATGGGGCTCCTGGCCATTGGGCTGTTCCAGCGGTTCACCCCCCTCTGTCCAATCTTGCCTTACTTTTTACTCGGATGGGGGTGGGGAGGCACTCCAGGGTCGTGAGGCTTCTGGTTTGGGGCTGAAGGTGAGAGACAGGAGGGTGATGGAGGGGGGTGAGGTGGAGCCAGGCTCACCTTGCTGCTCTGCTACAGGCTCCTGTCATCTTTGACAAGCAGTGAGGGGAGATAAAAATTAATTTTCTAAAATTTTTAGAGGCCCCCGCAGGCTGGAAAGAATGGGCTGGTGGGCTGTATCCAGCCCATGGGTCATATTTTGCCCACCCCTGAGTTAAAGAAACTGGTGGTCAGAGCTGCTAGCATCTTCTTGGGGATACACCCATGACATCATAGAAAACACTTTTAATCTACCCGTTTTCTTGTATATTGTGCATGTCTCTCTTAAAGCTGACACACCAATTTTGAAGATTTCAGTGATCCAAGAAAATATAGTCACAAGACAGTCTTTTGAAAATTCTTTCCATTTGTCTGTCCATACATCTATACTTATTGGAAATTAAAAGAGTCATAATATATTCCTGTTCTAGGTGGTCATTGTCATAAACTTCCATCTCTTTCTTGGTGTGTCATTTCGTATTTTCCATGTAGCTGAAAGCATGTTGCTACAGCACCAGGATTTTACTGGTCATTCACAGATAGATTAAAGGAATGGAGTAATGATAGAAGGCTGAATTTGTACTGGATGTCTAGAACCTCTTACTAACAACCAGCACATTTGACATTTTTTAACCTAAGTGTGCTGTATAGAACACATTTTTCTAGAAAATTCAAAATATTTTTATGTTCCTAAGACAGAAATTTAAATTATGTTTTTTACTTCCTGTGTTACGTATTGTCAGGGAACAGCGGCCCCAAGGTCACGGTGGGTCAGGGTGGCGATTGGAACACGAACAGGTGGGATTTGTGGCGGTGGAGTCTGAGTGGTACGAAAGCGTATGGTTTCAAACAGGTGGATTTATGGACTTACGCTTTAAGGCGTAGGCAGAGGTGCTTCTTCAGTTACAGTTAGAACCCGAACGAATACAAATAACAAAAAGCGGTCTGTTGGCCCACGAGGTTTGCTAGTGAGCCCTTGCTTTCTACCCCTGGAGGGATAGGGGCGGCTGCCTACTAGGTAGTCCCAGGGCTGGTCAACAGCTCATGGAGTGGAACACAAACGACAAATACAACTGTAACATGATGAGCCGATGAATGAAGAATAAGGTGATGTGACGCCAGTCCAACTGGACAACGGATGGTTGAGGATGAAGGCAGAGGTCGGACGCCAGGTAAGTAGAAGATGAAGCCATAGTCGAAACAGTAGGGGTGATCCAAATCGAAGTCAAAATCGAAACCAAAACAGTCTGGTAATCAAAGGACTCAATACAAGAAGAAACAAAATCGAGGAGCTAAATCGTTGTATGAAGTTATGAGGAGAATCGAGGGTTTGAATCCCAATCTCTCTCTCTGCCTCACAGTCCCTGCTAAAAGCAGCCTCTGTTTGCAGATCGAGCACGGTCTCTCAAAACACTCACACCAACACCTGTACTCCTAGCGCCCACCAACTCCAAACACCCACCCCTAGGTGGGGGCTTGCTAGCCTTTTATAGGAATTTAGTGGCCAATCGGATTGCTTTGTATATAGAAATTTCTGGTCAAATTATGTCATGCTTTCACCAACTGAGCATGTGTCAGATCAAGCTCTGTGTAGTAACTGAGCATGCGCAGGGCTGGAAAGTAGGTCAACAAGATTGACAGGTCCTGAGGTCACCCAGGGGGCACGTGCTGGGTGAGCCCTGGAATTTTCCACTCACAGAGTAGGTCTGCGCATGTCAGCTTCAGTCTTCTGTGTTGTCAACATACACTTAAGATTTTTCCGTGACACGTACTATCTACTTTGTATCTATGGATATAGCTTTGAGAAAATGCCTCTGTAATTGTCTGATTCTAAAAAGAAATAATAGACTCAGAAACTGGTCTTTAAATTAGGATAGATGACACTAATAAGCCTTTGAATTTCCTATCATCTTGCTGCCAGTTACATTCCAATTCTTCCTCTTTTTATGTTCATTCCCTGAAGTTTACCTTATTAAGAAAAAATCTGACAGTCACCAAAGTTGAACAAATACGTAAATAGGACTTGTTGTTATTATCTTCAGTAGGAGCAAGATAAAGCCTTAGCAACCAAGATATAATTTTATGATTATTAATCTGATGATAAAATTATGCTAATTCTTTTTATTACTTGTTTGTAACACCAAGATT